AGGATGGAAGGAGTAGTAGGGATATAAAGCAGAGGATAGCGCAGGGTCGTGTCGCCTTTAATAAAAAGAAGTCACTTCTATGCTCGCGAACGGTTAAATTAGAAATTCGAAAAACGTTGTTAAAGATGTATGTTTGGAACACGGCGTTGTACGGGTGCGAAACATGGACAGTGGGCGCGGCGGAAGCCTTCGAAATGTGGTGTTATAGGCGGGTGATGAGGATAACGCGGGTAGAGAGGGTTAGAATGAGGAGGTATTAGAAAGAATAGGAGAACAGAGGACTCTATGGAAGTCAATAAAAAGTAGGCGAGATAGGTTGGTAGGACACGTTCTCAGGTCTGAAGGTCTGAAGGTCTAGTCAGAGACATATTAGAGGCAGAAACAGGAGTTAAGAGGGGTAGAGGTAGACCTAGGTTAGATTACTGTTCGCAAATAGTTAAGGATGTGGGCTGTTCTAGTTTTAGGGAAATGCGAAGTTTAGCTCAGGATAGGGAAAAGTGGAGGTACGTGTCCAACCAGTCTTAGGACTGACGACCCTATGTTCTATTCTAAATTGGTATTAAGTTTAATTTTCTCAAAAAGTATTAGTCGTAAATAGTAACATTCTGATATTGGACTAAAGAAAATAACATTCTGCACATAATGAGCTGATAAAGAATATAGCATTCCATTTAAAAAGAATAGTTATGCCAGTTCGAAACAATTTATTTTGGAAATTGTAAATTTCAATGAATTTGAAAAGATCATGTTCGCGTTAATAGTGGAAATAGTAGGCTACTTCTCCCACAAGCTCTGTGTGAAAATACCACACTTTCTGTGTGCTTTCGTTTTGGACATATTCAAAATGCCGCGGAGTACAACAACAGTCTGTTTATTGAAATAGTGTGAATTTTATGGAAACTGATGCATTTTGGACATAATATATGATTAACAAAGTGGTATTTAAATGTAACAAGGAATTCCATTCGAAAAAAAGGTAACTTTCAGGAAAAAGGGACACTCTGTATAATCGAAAATTATTTTAAGATAAGAAAATACTTATGCGGTACCACCTTTGTAAGAAACTTTTCTTGGCATCTTTAACTATAAACCACTTATTGAAGAAACCCGCTCGCATGGGACACCCTGTATAATTAGTTTTTGTAATGAGTATTTTACATCGCAAGGTTATAAAGAATTGCTGATGACAGGGGTGTCGGCACTGTATAAGTAAATTGGTATGTAAACAATAAAAATAAAAACAATATTATCTTTAATGTTATAGATTGGAAATTCCATATAGATACTCTGGAGTTTTTAAAATATTTCTTGCCCCATATGGATATTATTAATCTTATATAATATGTTAAAATCGAATCGTGACATTCAAAATCCGCGTTACATCAGATTTTGTTGCATTCTACAGTTTTGATAAAAAATTGTATTACAGACATATGTTACGTATATGTAGGTCATCTTTGCGTTGTGGTGTCGCTAATAATGCTCGTAAGTTGAAAAAAACAGTTTACGCAATCTGTCGAAAAAAATTTACATTAATTTTTGTGTATTACAACCGGAATTACTACTCTTTTTTTTATATGAAAACGCCAAAAATAAATGAGTTTTCTTGGTCGCGTGATTTCCTAGAAATGTACGTAGACATTCTTAATTTAATGCTAATGCGTATATTTATTTACATTAACGTAATTTTACGATTGGTCTGGATAAGTTACGCCTTATTTTATCTATAAATATGAATTTATATATTAGTAATATTATTACCAAAACAAAATGCTACGACGTTTTCAAAGAATGAGATCTATTTCGGTAACAAATTTTAATACCAGTATCAAATTGCGTTATTAACAATTCAGAGTCAAATACAACTAAGTATCAGTTATCTAGAGAGGGTTTTCTTTATCAGCTTGTAATCTATCATTATATCGTGTTAACGAAATCATACAACAAAATTGCGGTAATTACTTTAGCAGGATAAATATAATAATAATTATTATTAAAGAATCATGAACCTAAATGCATATTGAAGAACAAAAAGCAGTGACAGCGACATTTTTTGAGGTCGAAATTAGTATAAATCGTAATTTGGTAATTGTTTACTTATGGTCACATAACATAGGTGGGGCGGGGAGTGGGTGTGTAGGGTATGTTATTGGGAAAAAGAGACGACGGGACAGTTAATGTGTTGTAAAGTAGCTAGGACAAATCAAAAACTAAAAATCTTAAGCTTTATTGATAAGTAAAGAGGTGATAGAGATGATTTAGATACGGAAAATCTATTAACGGAGGCATTAAGAGTAAAACTCTTTTGGGTGTTTCATTCCCACCAGCCGCTACTGCTGGTGGGCGGGCAGTCCCTCAGGACTACGCCGGAAGGTAGGGCGGAATGCCTCTTTTCAGGAATCGTGGGACGGGTGGGTACTGATTCGGGTGAGAAAGATGAGATGGACGAAATGAAGGCAAAGGAGAATGAAAGATTATCTGTGGAATATTACTGCCCCAGTATTTGCCTAAGTGATCCAAGGAAACTACAGAAAAACTTGAACCTAGGCAGACGGACCCAGAATCGAACCGGCGTCCTAAAAAAACCTAAACTTGTGGGTGTTTCATTCCCACCAGCCAGTAACGCTGGTGGGCGGGCAGTCCCTCCGGACTACGCCGGAAAGTAGGGTGGAATGCCCTCTTCAGCCTCTTTTCAGGAATCACGGGAACGGGTGGGTGGTGGTTCGGGTGGGAAAGATGAGACGGACGAAGTGAAAACAGAAGAGAATGAAAGATTATCTGTGGAATATGTTACCGCCCCAGCATTTGCCTAAATGATCCCAGGAAACCACAGAAAAACTTGAACCGAGGCAGACCGTCCTCCCGAATGCTAAGCAATAGTTTAAACCTCTAGGGTAAATCAATTATTCTCTGGGTGTAACAAAGAATCCAATAATTAAGACCTAAAATACGTAGCTAGATAGTAAAAATATAAAATTATAGATACGTCGATGTTTATACAACTGTATGCACAATTGGTAAATATTGAATCAAACAAGATCACATTTGAAAATTCTGTGGTTCGGCATTTATTTGTAGCAATAAACTCATTGAAGCAATATTTTCCGGATATGGATAATCGTCAGTCCAGTTCTTGGATATTAAGACAATTTAGTACTGATGATAACATTATTAAAAACGAAGACGTAGCGGCCAAAGTGGAATATTTTGGACTACGCCAGAATACTACTTGCAGAGTAGAATTTCAAAATTATGATCTTACCTCATTTTGACGAAAAACTGGTGCCGAATATCCTGCTCTAGCTAAGAGAGCTTTAAAAATGGTAATACCCTTTGCCAGCACCTATAGATGTGAGAGTGCTTTTTAAATTTTGGTTACACTAGAAACAAAAACCAGAATCCTTCTAAATGTGGAACATGACTTACGATGCGCTTTAAGAGAAATTAAAGCTAACATAAAAAAAATTGAAAAATGCAAAATAATACCAATCATCATACTAACTATTTTTGCTTAATTTATTGTTTAGGTATATAAAATTGTAAAACTGATGTGCAATTTGTGATTATGACAGATATCTGTATTTGATTGTGTTGTTTGTATTGATAACATTTTAAGGTCAGGGTAAAATCAGTTTTCTTAATAGGTCACAGGGGTAACAATATTAAAAAGGTTAGGAACCACTGCTCTATGCCACGCCGATCGTTGCATTCAGGGTTGAAATAATACCGGAAATATGATATTTTTTCGATCAGGTAGAGATAAATTTGAGAAAATGTACTGTATAAGTTAAATAGGGGTAACGGGGTAAATAAAATGAAAGAAAAATGTAAGCAAAATTGACAAAAACTGTTAATCTAATGTAAAATGTAAGTATAGTAAGAATGTAATGTTGAGAGCAAATTGCAAAAACCCCAAGATCAAATCAACCATGTTGCTGTAAACAAATAGGCATACGACAAATACAACACAAACGTAATGAGTGTTGTCTATTCCTACATTAACGTATCCTAACCCAATTTAACTAACCGAACAATAATTTTATTTGATTCCTTAGATTCTTAGGGTTACGGTAGGAAAAGACAACACCAATGAAGTATTTACAGTAATGCGAACCACAAAAAAGAAAAAAACCCATTACGACGTATTAACTTTTCAATAAAATCGGAGGTGTGGCCCTGTAAGTAAACAATTATCGTAAATTTTAATCATTATAGATTAGGTTAGGTTATCAATGCAATAAAATTGATTGATTGATTTATTTAAATGTGATCGAAGTTCTTACTTTTTTTATTTCTTTTCAAAAATTATATTTCATTTAGTTTAATAGTATTGCTAAATTTGAAACAACGGTACCTAAGACTTCATCGGATAAATATATGGTTCTATACATTAAATTATCTATTTAATTGTTTATATCTTTTGTGCCGCCGCCACTGGTAATTAAATTTCGGCAATCATAAGAACTGGCGTGCAGAGCAGGTTGCGTATAGAAACAAACGTTTTAAATAAGTTAAAATTTTTTAAATTTAAAAATTAAGCAGTCATTAATAGAAATGTTATAATAAACATTATTTGTAAATAGATTAAAGAAGTTCGTTCATAGGTATTTCGGACAGTGGTCCAAAGAGGTAGGCGGCGGGGCAGTTTTCTTGGGGATTGCCCAAAAATTCCGCATAGAGCTCTTGATATCTTGATAACGTCAATCCGCCTCTTCTTCTGTCATCATCCTGCAAAGTAAACAATTAATAACGTCGTTTTCATATTTTGTTATAAATTTAATCTTTTTGAGATTTCGAGGGGTGGAAATTTAACTTGGTAGTGTAGCTGATGAACTACATAGCGGCAAGAAAACTAATTAATAATCAGTGTATCAGTATGGTATCAAAATAAATAAAAGTAAAACAGAAACATTGATACGCACGGGAAGAAAAAGTAGGGAAGGAGTGCGGTACAACAACCCTTTGAAGCTGGAATGGCAAAATTAGCAGGCAAAAATATAAATCTTCGGATAATTAGCCTTGTTAGGATTAGGATTTTCCTCGTCGATTTTACAATTTTTGCATGCCAACATCATTAATCAAAAATACTTGTACGCAAGTAGAGAAAGAACGAATATAAAGATAGGAAACGAAAGATTAGAAGAAGTGGCTGATTTTAGGTATCTAGGAATTCAGATAAGTTCAGAGTAGTAGGGATATAAAGCAGAGGATAGTGCAGGGTCGAGTCGCCTTCATTAAAAAGAAGTCACTTCTAAGCTTGCTAAAGATTAATTTAGAAATTAGAAAAAGATTGTTAAAGGTGTATGTTTGGAGCGCGGCGCTGTACGGGTCCGAAACATGAACGGTAGGTGTGCCGTAAAAGAAAAGGTTAGATGCGTTCGAAATGTGGTGTTACAGGCGAATGTGGGATGTCCTAGTTTTAGGGAAATGCAAAGATTAGCTCAGGATAGGAATGAGTGGAGGTTCCTGTCCAACCAGTCCTAGGACTGACGACCTGATGATGAACTTTCTTTCTTATAGAGAATTTAATATGAAAAACAAACTTAACACTGCAATTACATCATATTAAGTGCTTGGTCGATATAGGCGGAGTCATAATAAACGAATTCCACAGTATTTGTAATGACTGTTTTGTTTTAAAGGATTTAAGTAGTTAAGAAAAAGTTTTCTTTTAAAAATGGATTGCCAAAAAGGTAATAGACTGTTAAAAGATATGCCTACATTACTTACGCTTAGTAAATTATTATAAGCCTCGTCAACCACTTCTACATCGTCAATAGCGAATTTTGTAATGCAGTTGTATCTGTATTCATCAGCGTCAATGATACCATCATCGTTCAGGTCGATCATTTTGAAATTCGAGTCGATAAACATTTTCATTGCTTGCGGGAAATCTTCATACCTTCGACCCAAGCAGCACTGCTGCACAGCTTGTCGAAACTCGTCCACTGTTATTTTACCGTCCTGTAACAGGTCCTATTAATCCGAACAAAACAATTTTTTCATTAAAATGATGACTCTGTGTAAATCTGTTCGGAAATTTCAACATCTTATTAAATACTTGCCAATTGTGCCGGCAAAATACAAATACAAACCAATGTTACGCGCGGTGCGACAGCGCCCTTATTAATGCGCCTACATGCAATAGCGGCCAAACAGAGAGATCACTAAAGTTAGAAAATAAGAACATATCTGCGACGCAAATGCATTAAATACAGTGGTTATTAACTTGCCTGCAACAGCTACATTATAATACTCTACGAACAAAATTATTACAAACACTCATATGATATAGTGCAAAGCTTTTTGGCAAGGCTTCTTCTTTACAAAAAGAAACATTTTTATAAAACTATTGTTATATTTCACAATCCATTATTTTCTGCTTTCATATTTTGAAAATAATCGTAATACATTTTTAGCAATTATCACGAAAAGAACTGTAAACGAAACGATTAGAAAATTACTTAATATAAGTAATTATAATAATAATAATAATGTACTTTAAAAAACAATAAAATATTTATATGTACAGAGAGGGCAAATTTAGTGAAGAATATGGTACATGTAAATTGGTTTATCCTGCACGAATAGTACGTAAAAATTTAGAAATTCAAACTTAAATTTCACTAAGTCTAAGTTTAATATTTCGAGAAAGATTTTAAAAACTGACGGTTGAATGAATGAAGAAATAAATAGGTCTGATTGTGAATTATGTTATGATTATGAAAAATGGATTGTAACCTTGTTAAAATCTGCCAGTTCAGCCATTTCTTCCCACAAACTTAACATTATATGCTGATATTCTTGTAATCTCGAGAAACTAAATTCACCTTTTCCTTCAATGATGGTTGCTCTAAGAGCTATACAGGCAAAATCCCGTTCGTCCAAGTATCCATTTCCATCTATATCTGAAAATGCAAATTTAAAAATAATATGTGAAACATTTTACGTAGATATAACAAGCTAACACGACAAAGTTATATGGTGTCTTATTTTTGAAATGCACTTCAATTTGTCACTTATTATCTGCTAATTTGTCACCAGATTACCAAATATAAAATTTGTCGCTCTAGTCGGCTATTGATAAATAAACGGTGCGCTATCTTTATATCCAACTGGCACCACACATATTAACAGAAATGCTATAGAAAAATATTGTGAAGGGCATAATTTGTCGCTGAAATACAGTAGTGTTACCCATTTTGTCACTTTAAGCTGATCAACGAAAAATAATTGGGAATGCCGTAGAAAAATATTGTAAGGGCATAATTTATGGCTGAAAGATGGTACTTTTGCCCATTTTGTCACTTCAAGCTGATCTGCGAAAAACGATTGGAGAGCTGCTAAGCTGGCTCTGCACATAACGTATCTCGAAATGAGAATGCCGTAGAAAAATATTGCGGGGAGCATAATTTGTCGTTAGAAGATGGTACTCTTACACTTTTTATCACTTCAAGCGGATCAGAGAAAAACGATTGGAGAGTCGTCAAGCTGGCACTGCAGTTAGGGTAATTTGAAATAGAAATGCCGTAGAAAAATATTGTAAGGGCATCATTTATGGCTGAAAGATGGTACTTTTGTCTATTTTTTCACTTCAAGCTGATAAGCGAAAAACGATTGGAGAGCCGTCAAACTGGCACTGCACTTAACGTATCTCGAAATGGGAATGCCGTAGAAATATATTGCGAGGAGCATAATTTGTCCTTAAAAGATGGTACTCTTACACATTTTGTCACTTCAAGCTGATTAGCGAAAAACAATAAGAGAGTCGTCTTACTGAACATGGCGTAATTCGGAATTGAAATGCTATGGAAAAATGTTGTGGGGGGCATATTTTGTCGCTAAAAGATGGTACTTTTGCCCATTTTGTCACTTCAAGCTGATCAGGGAAAAACGATTGGAGAGCCGTTAAGCTGATACTACACATAGTTTATCTCGAAATAGAAATGCCGCAGAAAAATATTGTAAGGAGCACAATTTGTCGCTAATAGATGGTACTTATACCCATTTTGTCACTTCAAGAAAATCAATGTTTTAAATCAACTAAAGATGAAATGTAGGCTTACATTTTTTTATTAATTTTATCACAACGTTGTGATTCAACATTTATTTATTTTTACCAGTATCTGGCAAAGCTTGGGTATTGAAAATTTGTGCTAAGATCAACAAAAAAAATGTAAACCTACTTTTCATTCTCAATTGATTTAAAACATATAAATATAGGTATCAGGATATTCTGTGCGTAGTGCCAGCTTATTGAAGCCTTTCTCTGGTTTCTTTTCGTTGGTCAATTGGAGGCTTGACTTACGACAAAGTCTACTAAAAGGTATCATCTTTCGGCGATAAATTATGGTACTTATTACGATATTTTGATTTCGACTTTGCCCAATACTACTATATAAGGGGTAAATGCTCTATTTTCGTATACTTTTAAGGGGTATCAACTTACTTGAAATTTACAGGAAAACTATGACGAAAATCTTAAATTTTATAGATGCAAGTACGTGTATAAAATTTCAATTTCTTATTCAAGTAAAATTTCTTGAATAGTAATTTTATGTAAAGTGTAATTAGAACATTAATTATCAACCCTAAAAACATGATAGTGGTAATTTTTCCTAAAAAAGAAAAAAAACAGGATTTCGTAACCTCTGTGAAGGAGGAGTGCCTGCTCTAGGGCAACTGACATTGTCATACTGGATATTGTCCCTTTAAGATGTCAAGCCTTGGACTTCAAAACAGAACGTTTAAAATAAGTTTTGTTGGTGAGCCACGTATGCTATTTGGCAGCATGCGATTTCAGAAAATTTAACAAGTGGTATTGCCTAGGTTAAAAAAAAGATGAATGCGTTGCTGTACCTACATGACTCGGACACAGAGAAAAAATAGACCGTTTGTGTTTTTGAAAAGTTCGATGACATTCGTATTCACGTCAACCGAAACAAGTGACTCCCTGTCAATATATTTTTAGACTTGTCATTTTATTCATAATTTTTTGTTCGTTTAAAACAGTTTCTCACAATTGCCTACAGTTCTTTGTTCTGCAACGCAGATGTTTTTTTTTTACTTTGTAGATACAGAAATTCTATTCTTTCGCCAGAAAGTTCTAAAAATATCTGTTAAAATGAAATTTGATATTTGCAAAATACAAAAGTCACTTTTAATATTTCTAAGAACTATTTTCATTTCCTCGTCTCCGTGAATTATAGACATTTTCCTTAACAGGATGTCCAGGTGTACAAAAAAAGTACTTCTTTTTATCTAAATAATTTCATTGTATTGTGTCTTGTTTAGACAAAAGGGTGTCGCCCTTCGGTTTTGTTTAAGTAAAAATCAACTGCAAAGTTATGTGATCGAAATTGGTCTTATGGTCATAACTGATTTCCACTAATTGTCATCATAATCATAAGGTCCTTAGTCCTAAGACTGGTTGGACACACACCTTTACGCTTTCCTAATTGTAAAGATGATTTATTTATTTATTCTGTGTTATTCCTCTGCAATTTTCGGAAAAATGTAATAACCTAGAATCCGATAACTCCAAACAAGCGAATTACTTATTTTATAATAAAAACAAATGTATGATTTTCACTGGTGATAAAGGCCTAAATACAAAATCAATTATTGCTTAAATGTAATGATGCTCCCCCACAGTTAGAAGACTGTTACTGATAATGATGTTTGTATAATTACAATTTGTGTTGAACATCTCACTTATACGATTTGTTAGTTATTTCTAATTAGGTAATGTACTTTACTAAATACAAAATTAAACATAGTTTAGTTACAAAATATAATTTACTTGGCCACTTTAATCAATTAACCACACACTGTGGCTTCTTGAGATGGAAGAATCAGCCTGAATTATTTTTCGGCAATGTTAATTCTGTTTATCCTAACTAATCTAATATTGTAAATGGTGAGTGTTTGTTTATTACGATTTCAGGCTTTAATTACTCAACCGATCATTAAAAAAAAATTTGTACACACATTGTCAGTTAAAAAATAGTACTACATTCCCGAGGGATGGTAAAATTTGTTTTATCTGGTCGTCGACAATCTTTGACGTATATTTAGGATATCAACGCGAGAGAAGCCGCGGGTAAAACCTATCATGAAATTTTGTACATACATTGTCAAGGGTACAGAAAAGGACATAGGGTACCTTTTTACCATAAAAAAGTACTGTTCCCAAGGAATAGTAAAATTTGTTTTATCTGGTCGTCGACAATCTTTGACGTGTAGTTAGGACATCAGCGCGAGAGAAACCGCGGCGGGTAAAACCTATCATAAAATTTTGTACATACATTGTCAAGAGAACCTAGGGTACCTCATTATCAAAAAAGGTACTGTTCCCAAAGAATAGTAAAATTTATTTTATCTGGTCGTCGACAATCTTTGACGTGTATTTAGGACATCAGCACGAGAGAAACCGCGGTGGATAAAACCTATCATAAAATTTTGTTCATACATTGTCAAAAGAACCTAGGGTACCTTTTTGTCAAAAAAAGTACTGTTCCCAAAGAATAATAAAATTTATTTTATCTCGTCGTCGACAATGTTTGACGTGTATTTAGGATTTCAGCGCGAGAGAAACCGCGGCGGGTAAAACCTATCATAAAATTTTGTACATACATTGTCAAAAGAACCTAGGGTACCTTTTTGTCAAAAAAAGTACTGTTCCCAAAGAATAATAAAATTTATTTTATCTGGTCGTCGACAATCTTTGACGTGTATTTAGGACATCAGCGCGAGAGAAACCGCGGCGGGTAAAACCTATCATAAAATTTTGTACATACATTGTCAAAAGTACAGAAAAGAACCTAGGGTACCTTTTTGTCAAAAAAAGTACTGTTCCCAAAGAATAGTAAAATTTATTTTATCTTGTCGTCGACAATCTTTGACGTGTATTTAGAACATCAGCGCGAGAGAACATAGCTAACTAACTAACTTTGATAAGCTGTACAATTAAAACAATTTTGATTGTACTCTAAATTGGTAAACAGCTGCGTACTGTGGATCCAGTATTAACTAATTTTAAGTGGGCGTCTGACCCGACCTTGATTTATTTTTTAATTTGTTTTATTATGACGTACTTACGTGCTCATCGAATTTAAATTAACTACAGAGATGTTAATTTTTTATTAAGTACCTAATACCAACGGATGGAGTATAACTCTCTTTTTCGTGTCTATAAATGTATATTATGAATTGCTTACAAAATATGTACCAAGTTACTTCTGTTTATACAATTTCGAGCCATTTGGCATCAGTTCAAAACAAACGAAGGCTGTAAAAGTTGTGACCTAGTGTACCACTGATTGTAAATTCGACTAAATAACGGAAAACTGTCGCTTTCCTAAAGAATAATTAACTTTCATTATCACCTGTGCGATAACATGATTTTTATTACTGAAGAAATCTTTATGGTATCTACATTTTGAAAATTACTTGAATACTGCAATGTTAGATTGTTTGATCGTTTCAAATTTTGATATTTTACGTTTTATCGATCTTTAATCTTGTCCTAACATATTATTTCGAAATAGAGTTTAATTTTGACAAATATGGCAACGTTGTCGTGGTAATTGTATATAATGTGGGGCTCACCGTTAGGGGAAGGGGGTAAAAAAAGCCTTGCAGAACACAAGAAATGGTTTTAGGTGGGGGGGAAGAGAAGAGTCGAATAAAAACTGAAAGTAATATCTTTTTCCACAGCAACATTTTATTATTTTTATATTTTAATCCAACTGCACTTACTGTAAAATCTTCTGCTAAAAGCTACTTTAAAAAACTTCAAAAGCTCTATTTTCCAACAGTTATGATTCACTAATGGCAAATGCAGTAATTATATATACTTCAAAAACTTTCTCTAGCGATGTGCCCCTTCCAATGTCTTGGATGCGCG